TTTGCCTGCACGTAAAGCTGCACTGCCAAAGGTGAATGCCCAGGATTTGGGGAGAGGAGCTAAGAGCAGTTCAGGATAATGAGGTTATCATCCTTCAGCAAACTTGTACCTGTGAATTTGGGGTGGTTTTGTACTGGAATACTTGTGACAACAGGCTTTTGCAGTACTTTGTTTGCAGTCACTGTTACACTGTACCCTTGATTCGCAGGGGAGTTGTGTGACAGCGCAAATCCCATGCACTGAAGGAGAAAAAGGGGAAAGTGAGGTGAGAAATGTGGATGGAAATTGGAAATGCTCCAACTGTGTGTTTCTGTCTCACTCCTCCCTCACACCTTCCAGCCTGCCCTTAGCACTGGCTGCCTCTCTGGGGTGCTGCCCTTTTCCTACTCACAGTGACTCCCAGAGAATTCTTGCTTTCAGCAGTCATCAAACCTTCCATCATTTAAGTCTCTCTGGAAAATCTGCTCATTTCCTGGCTATCATGGAAGTCTCCAGCAAACCTGTTTCCTTGGTTTTTTCAGCTTAAAGACTAAAAGTAAATATAGAATTAAAAATATAATAAAAACACCTCATCATCTCATCTCTAGGGATCTCTAGGGATAGAGGGACCAGTGATGGATTTGACGGAGTGAGATAATTTATTCTTCATCCTCTTGACATCGCTGCAATATCACAGGATCTTCAGGTTTTCAGAACCATCACACATGATTGTTAGTTATGAGAACCATCATGTGTGATTGAAGTTTACTTCATTTTTACACAGAAATATCAGTGATTTAATTTCTTTAATAGTGCAGGAAACATGGTAAGAAGAAAACACACAGTACATAATCCCCACATACCTCAACTATGTGCTTAACCCAAGAATACTTATTGGGAATAAACAATTGGCTGGTAATTTTAATGCAAAAGTACAGTAGAATCCCAGAAACTCTTAGGTGTTAATATGGAGGGACAAAACAATTTAGTGTTTCGTTGTCAGACAAATTAGTGTTTCAGATGTCTCACAAAGATTGTAAATGTCTTAGTTTGGTGTGAGAAAGGGCTGGGCAGGGCGATGAATTTGTCCAAAATTAAAAAATTTCTAAAATGAGAGCTGGAGGATGACCTGTCTTTTTAAAACCAGCATCTGTGTTTGTAAATTAAAAGAATAGCTGCATCTCCACAGGTTTCCCAAATGAATTCCGTGGATGTCTGACGCTGATAACAAATGACTGTTGTGTGTCTTCCCCAAAATCCTTGCTGTGACTGTGATTGCAGCTCTAATTATGGCATAACAGATGCAGTGTTGTATAGCACCCGCCTCCTTCAAGATCTGTAGCCACCCTTACTTCTACATGAGTTTTCTCATTTTAGTCTAGAATTTACTACTGCTCGCAGTAACAAAGAAGTGGGTCTCAAAGTCAGGAAAAAGAAAGATGTTGAGATTGTTACACTGCTCACATTGTTGTTCTGCTGCAGATGTTCGTTGTGTTGGCAGGCAGCGCGATTGTGGGAGAGTGAGTTCATGCCTCACTGGGTCCTTTCCACTTTCTCCAGCCTCTCCTCTGCTGAGTAAGCAGTTAAAGGGAGTTTTTTTCTTTTGTTCCCAAGCCTTCGCTGCTGTTTGACAAGGAGGGCAACTTTACTTGGCTGGGATTTTTTTTTTTTTTTTTCAGTTGGAAGTGGAACAGCGTAATTTTTTTTTCTTTTTAAAGTGTTCATCAGAAGAAATAGAAGAATACATTTACATGTGAATGTTGCTGTGTTGTTCTTCCAACCTAAGGAGGAGGTGATTTCTTTCAGCAGTACAAACTAACGCCTTGTGCTGTGCCAATCATGCTGCCATTGTCTGCTTTGGTAGTGACAGTGCATCATCTCTTGCACGTTACAGCCGTGGCCGAATACCTCGCTCACGTGAGTGAGTTTGGGCACAAGCAAGGTGTGAGAGCAGCATCTCGTACCGCAGAGCTGCCCCATCCCTTGAGGCCGGGCTGGACGGGACAGGCTGCTCGGAGCAACCTCACCTAGCGGAGCGTGTCCCTGCCCATGGCAGGGGGCTGGAACTACTCGGAGATGAGCTTTAAGAGTCTTCCAGCCCCAACCACTCCGTGATTCCAGCAGCATTTCTTCCCCCGGAGCATCACCTCCTGCCCGGGCGCGCCGTCCCCGCCCGTCC